ATGTCGGTAATTATAATAGTGGATTAGACAAACAAGAAAATTAGTAAAATTAATTCTACGATTTATATTATATTAAATAAAATCGTAAAATAATTCTATATATACGATATGTATTATTTATTTAATTTCTTTTTTTTTTTTTATTTTAACCATTATCGTAATTCTCAATACATATAATGAAATCGAAACTTTCCTCCTTTTTCAAAAATAATTATAATTCAAAAATTATTACCCCTGTGAGAATATCAAATTAAATACAAAGTTAAACATCGCGACAATTCAATTGTAATAATTATCAATACCATTTTTGTCTAATCGATTAACCGGATAAAAAAATTCACGCGTTAAAAAGGGGATGGAAAAGAAAAAAAAAAAAAAAGAAAGAAGAAAAAGAACCAAAAAATACAAAAAAAAAGAGTGAGAGAATGAGATAGATAGATAGATAGATAAAGCAGAGGGTTGAAAAAAAGGGTAGGGAAAGCAAAAGTAAACGCACACGCGACGTCGAAGTTATTCAATATACCTGGTAAAGTTCTGTGAAAGGACAAACGGATCGGGAGTCGTTTCCATGGACAATTTATCACTGACAATTCGCGGGATCGTACGGCATGTACACGTTTTCATTGTAAGCGAAAAAGTTAGATACCGAGATCGAGAAAGAGAGAAAAGGATAAAAAGAAAAAGAAAGATGGAGTAGTGAAGAAGCGAGAAACGCAGATCTCTGAGAGAGGATCGCACCTAATAAGAATCGAATCGTACGAGCCAGGAAGCAAAACCGAAGACTAGTCAAGTTGCTAAACTAAAAGCTAAGGCAGAAACCTAAGTTAAAGCTAAATTCTGAACTAAACCGAAGCTAGAGTTTAAACCCAGCTATACTGTGCTATACTATGCTGTGCTATGGTGGTATGGTATGGTATGCTATGGTATATACTATAGTATAGTATCCTACATTATACCACTACCTTTTGCCCGCGAGTCCTTCGCGAGATACGCCGCGTGTCCTGTAACAAGCAGTTAACCTATCGGCAGATAGAGTTTCACTTTGAATAAACGCTCTTAGCACGGTACACGCTTTATACTACCTGTACCTTATGCGGTAATTCATCGTCACCTGTTACCCCTCTTAGTTCTTATAATCCTCCCTTATCTTACTAGCCTCGATCTATCCTATATCTATAAACCGGAAATACTCTTCTACCTATTCTCTATACCATTCTAACTATCCCTTCTATCTACTTCCTTTTTACCACACCTGTTTCCTATTCGTATATCTCTTTTTATATCTTATAAAATAAAAAAATAAAATAAAATAAAATTAACTCATTATCCTATTTCTTTTCTTTATCTTATCTATCGCGTATAATGATTAATTAATTAATTAATTTAAAAAAAAAAAAAACACGGGGGGTGCGATAATAAATTATTTTTTCATAATAGAAATATATATTATCGTTGAAAATATGATTTATTTCGAGATGGAATATAAATAAAGAGAAAATTATCTTACGGCAAAGAAAGCGGTGACAATGGCGATGAAACAAAATGATAAAATTGGTACAAGGGTGAGGAGAAGGAGGAGGAGGAGAAGGGGGAAGCGGGAACATGGGGTGAGAGTTGGGTTAAGAAGGTATTGAAAAGGCGAAAGGTAAGAAGAAGCTTGGAAAAAGAAAAGGCGCTGAAGTTACTCGATACCCATCCTCGTAAACAGCAAAGGAACACGGCAGAGAGAGAGCCCCAACGAGACGCTCCTTCTTTATAGACATTTTATTATAGACACCATGCAGGACCGTTACTCTTGCTCGTTTTGCGGAACACGATTGAAAATCGAATTACGTGTGCAACATAAAAGATAGAACGAGAGAGAATTAAAAATGAATCGAAAAGAAAAAGGAAATATAGAAAAATGAAAAAAAAAAAACTAGTAACCCTTAAAAAAAGGGGGTTTAATAATTAACTAGATTACTAACGAGTCAACTAATAATCCCTAAATCTTCCTGCAATACCAAAGAAAATGAAATAGGGAAGAGAGAGAAAAAAAAGGAAAAAGAAAAGCAAGAAAGTTTTATTCTCGAGCCTGGAATAATTTGAAAAGAGAAAACGCGAACAGGGGTGGTGACCTCTCTCTCTTTCCGATCGTAGTTATTCCTCGGCAACAGTTGGTCACGAGTGTAATGCAAATGAGATTATTGGGCGAAAATTTACGATCGAACGCAATTATCCAATGAATTTAAGTGTTCCTAACAAAAAAAAAAAAAAAAAAAAAAAAAAAAAAAAATTTTAAGGGGATAAAATGGTCGAATCACTTCCCCCGCATAAAACTATCGTTGCTATCGTATTCCGTGGTGCAAAAAAAAAAAAAAAAAAAAACAAAACAAAAAATATTTTAACGGGGTAAGTATGTATACATATATATATATATACACACACCAGGCGTTTCGAAACGAGCAAAAGAGAATGAGTGAGAGAGAAAGAAGAGAATATGGACTCCCCCCTTAACACCACCCCATCCCAACCCCCACACCCGGTTTATGGCCTTACAAAACCCTCCCTCACTCTCTCTCTTTACGAATCCATGATCGAGATAAACATCGGTATATCATTGGATAACGTTTCACGTTTTATGTTGGTATATGTATACGCTACCCCATAGTCTCCCTGGTTGATCGTTAATTACTGTTAATGATATACCTCTGAAACTTTTCTATCGTCGGTTTTAATGACCATCGACGACGAAGTGAACAGAGAAAGGGGGGGAACAGAGAAGAGAAGAGAAGAGAAGAGAAGAGGAGTGAGGGGAAGTAAAATTTAACGAGAACGAACACAGGGTGGCAGATTGGAGGCGCCTGGCAACCAGGTGACGTTTTCAGAAGACGATCCCTGGTCCACCAAGCCATCTGGTGTCGTGCCACAAACACGATGTTACCCATTATTTTCCTCTATCCTAACGTATTTACGAGTAGAATTCTAAAAAAGTACACTTGGATGGAGAACTTGCTGCTTGTCGATCTTCCGAAATCGATCTTTCAATCTTATCGAGATTATATCCTTAAACGAAGATTAAATGTCCGATTTGGTATGTCTATTTTTTTGTATTTTTATTTTACTTTTTACTGCTACTCTATGTGTGGGTATGTGTTTGTGTGTTTTGTGTGTACGCTTGTATTTATTTGAACAGTATTTTTGGGGAGTAAAATAAATAAATGGCAGTGTGTAAATAATAATTTGTCAATATTTATAATAGAGAGAAAATTGCATCCTGGTTTGTGCATCGATAAACGTGGGTTGTATGTTAATATTTTATTATACATATATTATATATATCCAGTTAAAATATTGATTTATTTTTGCATTTATCGGTATAATATTAATATCGTATTATATACTGATAATTTATTTAAAACACTGACAGAATTTTATATATATATTAATCGATATAATATTAAACATTTAATAATTTATTATAAATACTATCCCGAGATAAATATATATAGAAGCTACATATATATATATAATTAATATACATTAATTTATACTAAAATCTATATATTAATCCTAGGAATTATTAAAAAAAAACTATAAATAATATTTCCTTAATTAATTATATATTAAGATAAAAGTAACTTTCTTTAAAGGAAAAAAAAAAAAAGAAAAAAGAAAAAAGTAATACAACAAATTGAAAAAGACAGACAATAAGAAATAGAAAGAGAAAGATAGTGAGACAAAGAGATAAAGGAACACATAAGCCTCGTTCGACGCTGATGTATGAGGCGTCAAGTTCTCAAGGGAGTCTAACAAATCGCTCACGAATGTCCAGGCAATTATTTGACCCGTAAGGAGAAAGTAAAGTGGCAAAAGGGTAGGACAGAATCACGAAAATCGGCGGCAACGAGACAGAGACAGAGAAAGAAAGAAAGAATAGAAAAAGAAAGAGAAAGAAATACTGTAACATGGACTTTTTTTTCCCTCTCCCCTCCCTCCACCCCAAATCCTCCTGTTCCTTTCCTCTTCCTCCAACACTTCTGGTAAACATTCGGAGACGAGACACTTTGAAAGGCTGCATAATCGTCGTATAGCGTGTGCCCGAGCATTAACATATAATGGTCAGCGTCATTCTTCTCACCGTCACGTAGAGGACCCCGTTTAATCATTCTTGGTCACCCCGTCACGTAATCCTCCACCACCCACCCCCCTCGTATCCCCCACGGACACCTTTTCCGTACGATTGTTAAGAAAGATTACCGTACATTAATTTGAAAAATGCATCGACTAAGAGATAGAAGGGGAGGATAAGAGAAAAGGTTTCATTTTAAAAAAGAAATACACGTATGGGTAGTACATTTTATATGTATATATACTTGGTGTCTTAAAAGTAGTTACAACTAATTAACAAAAATTAGACAAATTTTCTTTACTGTTATTCGTATTAGATATTATACGTATTTTTGTTTAACGACATTTTATCTTGAAATAAAAAGAAAGAAAAAAATAATAATAAAGTATTCCAATTACGTGTTATACGATTATTTCTAATACTATTTCTTTCTAATTTTTCTTATATTTGTATATTGTTGATTAATTGATTTTTGAAACATCCTGTGAGTGGGTTGTGTTTATATATTATAAGCTTTATAGCTCGAAACACGAAATAATGTTCATCATCTGACTATTAACAACTTTAAGAGTGAAGGATTAGGATCGACGCGTATATATACACACACATATGTTAGAGATAAATCTATATAGAAAAAGAAGAAGGGTTGTTTGAAACGCCGAAGTCCGTCAAAGTAATTTGTATAAATCCTCTTAAAGCTTTATATGTTATTAGCAAACTACCAATTCAAGTTACACGCTTTCAAATTGCACCCCGAATCCCTAGGTCCCTCTATCTATTCTCTCTCTCTCTCTCTCTCTCTCTCTCTCTCTCTCTCTCTCTCTCTCTCTTTCATACACACGTCTAACTCTACGACGAATTCAAATCCCAGTTTCTAAGCATGGCTTTCCTAGTTCAAAGTTCTCGATAATGGCATGGAACTAGGAGCTATCGAATGTCAATATTAGTTTGAGCTGATTACGACATTGCGGATTACGTATTTACCGACAGGTGGTGCTTATATGCATATATCCATATATATATATATATATGTGTAATATAGAAATACAAATAAATTAATTAAACACTCAAACAAAACACAGAAAATGGAACAACGATAAAAAAAAAAAAAATAATATATAATGAAAATAAAATATATATTTATAAATCATCTAGAAGAAGATCAAGCAATCGAGTGTAGTGTTTAGCAATGTTATCTTTTGTCATCTTTTAATATTGTTTTATTTTCTTTTTTTTACACGCGTAGATATTGCATCAATATCAAACTGCATTGTCAAGGATAAACACAACTTTTATCTCTCGCACGATACGCGGAATGACGATATTACACCCTGGGCGAACACGTTGTCGAGCTTTAACTTCAAAAAAGAAAATAAAAAGAAGATAAAAAAGAAAAAGAAAAAAAAAAATAATAAAAATAATAAAAAAAAAGAGATCGCATATAAGTTTATCCGTAGTACGATATCAAATTCTCATTCTACTTTTAACCGTCGTCTCTTTTCTCTACGGAATAAAACGCCATTAAAAAGCAACCCCATAACAGATTAAGAGTTAAATTCAGTGTGAATGCTTTACGATGTTGTGCGAGACGTTCCTTTCTCTCTTTTATATACAAGTTAACTTCTACAAGTAAAATACACGTAGAAGAAACGTAGATTGTGCTTTGAAGATCTAAGGTATAAAGTATTCGTTGGTTGGCATACTCGGTCGAGAGACTATAACCGATGACAGATTGGCAACACGGTTTATACAAAGTGTAGAGGGGAAATAATTCGTTCTCCGGACAACTTCATGACCCCCTAAGTTACCTTCAACGACGTTATAGTACATCTATCCGCGACTTTAACGCCCCACCGAGGAAATCCAGCGGTGCCTCTCATTGGGGGGAAAGAGGAAAGGGAGGACACACCATATTCCTTTCCATCCTCCCTTCCTTTGGTTATTTCTCATCTTTTCTCTTTCTAGTTTACTTTACTTTACCCCATGCAAAGAGTTAGCACAGTAAAACGTTCGACGTCCTCGACTTGTACTTACTCTCTCTTTCTTTATTCGCATAGCTTTGTTATCTCTACAACTGTATCCTCCTCCCCTCTTCCTCCTCCTCCTTCTCTTCTCTTCACTTCTCTTCATCCATTTATTTTCTTCTTATTATTCTTCTACACATATTTTTCTCTTTTTGGTATACCGGGGTACGACCAACAACCCGTATAAAACTTATTAACCCATATGACTCGCACCGTACGTATATTTATGTATTTGTGAATACGTGTGTGTATATGCTATGTGTATATACGTGCGCGCACTCTGCACCGAACCTTCATATCTTAATTATTCCATCTACGGTAAAAGGAGAAAAGTTGGCCTTCCCTGGGTTGCACCAACTAACGGAAAAATTTCTCTACTTATTTTTTACCAACCGAGATCAAAGGACAAGGACAAGACAATCAGAAAGGGAAAGATAGAAATTCAATGATGGAGAAGGAAGAAATAGGATCGAAAAAAAAACGGAGGTGAAAGCGCTACGAAGCGTCACGATATCCACGTTTAAGCTAGAATAATAGTACTCTTGTAGTAATAGTAGTTGGGTCGTGATGATGCTGGTAGTGGTAAAGACACCTATTAGAAAGGAGCACACGAGTTAGAAAGGTTTTAGTTACTAATCGGTGCCCTGGATTTTCCGATCTCTCAAAAGAATTCACGAAAAGACCGGGGGGACGGGGGAAAAAAAATAAAACACCTAAAGAGAAAGAAAGAGAGAGAAATTGATAATACCTTTAACGACATCTAAGGATTTATTTTAACTGATTAGAGAGAAAAAAAAGAAATCTAATAAAAACGCGTATACTTGTACATTTAAATTAAAGTGCAAAAAAATAAAGAGAGAAGAAAAAAGAAGGAGAAGGGGGGGAAAAGAAGAAAAAAAAAACGAAAAAATTCCTTTAATTTCTCTCGACAAATTTATACGCAACAAATGACGCAAATCTCGCAAAGGACATCTCGCTATAATAAAACGAAACTCGAGAAACTAGTTTTTTACTTATTAATCACTCGAGTTCTCTAACTTTCCTTCGCTATGTGAAATATATAAAGAAATAGTAATAGTAATAATAATAATAATAATAATAATAGTGATAATGAATTTTAAACAGCCACACACGATCTTATCTTTCTCTCTCTAACGCACATACACATATAAATTCTCTCTCTCTCTCTCTCTCTCTCTCTCTCTCTCTCTCTCTCACTCTCCCTAACTCTCTCTCATTCTCTTTCTCTCTGTAAATGTCTCCGTCTCTTTCCGGTTGGTCGTGCGGCAAGAAATCTACTTGTTGACACTCGGCGCGCGCGAGAAGCGACGTTAAGAAGCGAAATCACGTGGTGGATCGTAATGAGGAGGACTGTACCCCAGATAGACTATCGACAAGGTACCCTACCGCGTTGCCGACACGAGGGGGCACACTGTAAATGGTAAAGGCGGAATCGTCTTCTTCTATGTATATGTAACTACATACCTACACACATATTTATATACGTCTACCTTCCATGTATTCATGTATATACTTATATGTATACATATGGTTTAGTATATGTTTATATATATATAGAGAGAGAAAGAAAGAGAGACGTTTATTAGGTGTGTTAGTGTACTCACGTATATGCCGAAAGTGGTCATGGGAAAGGTATCGGTGCGTTAAGGCCAAGCAAGACTGGATTCCGCGGGGCGAGGCCGGCTCGTTGGCGGGTAGGAGTGTACAAGGTCTTCGATACCTCGTAAATTACCACTCGACCCTCCTCCTCATCCTCCAATTCCTCACTCCTTCCCTTCCCTTCCCTTCCCTTTACTTTACTTTCGTTCCCATCCTTTTCTTATTCTTTCTCTCACACTCGTTAACTCTTTCTCTTTCACGCACTCTATCTCTCTGTCTCTATCTCTCTCTCTCTTACTTTACTGACTACTCTCTTTTGGCGTTCAACTAACGTTAAACTGCCTACGTTTTCGTCCTGAGGAAAGAAGAGGCCTCGATATGCTTGGCTCTCCTCTCTCGTGCTCTTCGATCTCGACCGAAGGGCAAAGTAGAAAGCAAACGATGCTGCCCTTTCAATTCTCTCTTCGAGAAAAGAAGAAGAAGAAAAAAGAAAAGAATGAATGGTTAAGGAGACACAAGGTAAACTAAGTAGTAAAAACCGTAACAGAAATAATTTTTATGCTAATTGATTGACTGATTGATTGATTGATTGATTGATTCACTGATTGATCGATTAGTTTCTTTTTATTTTTTGTCTCGTTTTGTTTTGTTTCGTTTTGTTTTGTCCGTTAGGTCCGCGTGATAATTTATTGCGAAGGATATTATATATTCGACGATGGCTAATTATACTGAGGTTTTAATATTAACGAATTTAAGATTCGTTAATTTATCACGGAGAGAAAGAAAATTTCGTGCGAATGTAAAATTTGCATGTAAAACAATAAGAAAATATTTCAAATATTATAAACAATTCACGGATTTTTTTTTAGGGGAAAAAAAAAAAAAGAAAAAAAACAACCGATAAAAATAATTCAAAATTAATTTACGTAGAAAAAAAAAAAAAAAAAAAACTTCACAATGAAATTATTAGAAAGTACCAAAAGAGTTAATAAATAAATTTCTATCTAATATTTCATTATTTTGTTCAATCAACGAATTGACTTAAAAACGTAGAAAAGGAGAAAGAAAGAAAAGAAAAGTTTCGTCTGTTTCTACTTAATTAACGACGACGCGTTATTAGCGCATCCCCCCCTCCCCTACCCCCTTTTTTCGAAAGAAGGATACTTCGTTTGGTCCTTTTCATCTGGAGGAGCTAATCGGGCAGTGAAGAAATGGCCAGTCGTTTCCCAGATAACATTCGACCGATATGCGTCCACCACGAGAAACGCGTAGCTTTTGGGGAACCGGTTCTTCCATGGTTCCAAGATCTTCTTACTCTCTCTTGCTCTCTCTCTCTCTCTCTCTCTCTCTCTATCTATCTATCTCTATCTATCTCTTTCTCACACTTCGCACGCGCGCGTCGTATCTAACAAATTAATTTTTTTCCCGTATAAAAATTCAATTTACCATAGCGCCCGACGATCGATCCTTCAATTTAAAAAAAAAAAGCGTGCCAGCCAAGTTTTATTCTGATAAAAAACAAAATCTTAACAAATATATTTTATTTTGTCTCCATCTGAAATTCGCGAATAAAAAAGGAACCACCACCACCCTTCCTCCTGTATGTGTCGTAGCTATTGCTGGTTTAACCCGCCTCCGTGTATCGCGTGTACATTTTTTTTTTTTTTTCTTTCTTTTTTTATCTCATCGAAGGAAGAAGAAGAAGGAAAAGAAAAAAAATTTTTGACGACCGAGGAGGCGTTGAGGTGTCCATGCGAACTCAACTTTACGAGAATATAATTTTGGTTAGCGACACAGAAAGACGGAGATTGAATGGAATGCGACGATTCGGTGGAGTCAACGAACGTTTATAGAATAAAAGAAGAAGGAGGAAGAAGAAGAAGAAGAAGAAGAAGGAGATGAAGATGAAGGAGAAAAAGGAGAAGGGAAGAAAGTTTCTTCTCTCGATAGCTCGTAAATGGTCCCGTGGTCCTGTCGGGCCGTCGTACAACACTCGTGTACCATGTTTACGCATACGAATGTTCCAATGGATGCACAAAATCTGGAGAAAATAAGAGAAGAGAAGAGAAGAGAGAAAAATATCGATGGGTCGTGTCTACGTTCTGTCAATGAAATACCGTCGAGGAATTCTCGAGGAGTCCTTCGAGAATACCATCCAACAAGAGAGAAAGAGAGAGAGAGAGAGAGAGAGTCGATCGGTAATCTCTCGATAATTTGTTGAATAAAGAAAGAAAGAAAGAAAGAAAGAGGACCGATGAAGGTAAAGAAGAGGGGGTTAAATAAGCAAAGAGAAGAACTAAGGGTATATAATGTTTGCACCTATCTCTGTCTCTCTCATTCTCTTGGAAATACGTCCGTAAAGTTCGTTAACGACCATACCACTACCGCGAAACTGGATTCTGTACTCCAATTACGTACGACGAAAGTAAAAGGCAAAGAAGGAGTTCTTCGACGTATCGACTGCTACGTCCGATAAGCCCAACGTCCGGCGTCGTTACGATGCCAAAGGGAAAGGAAGATAGAAGGGAAGAAAAAAAGGGAGTCTACAAAAAAAAATCAAGATAGAAAGAAAGAAAGAGAGAGAGAGAGAAAGAGAAAAGGCATTGCTTCTGCTTTAACTACGCACGAATTTTTTCGGCGGTGATCCAAAAGATCGAGCACGCGACGGGTCAGCTTCGTTCGAGGGATCGAGAAAGGATGGAATCGATGGTCCGTAAAGCGCATCCATGGAGAGATTATAAGGAAGAATCCATCGGCGACCAACCCAAGAATAATAAAAAGAAGAAGAAGAAGAAGTTTTGGTTAGAAGAGAAACCTTCTTTCTGCTTTCTTCCTTCTCTTCTTTTTCTTTCTTTATTTCTTTCTTTTTTTCCTCGAATGAGAAGCCATTGTCGTGCTTAATTTACCGTTAAATTGTTTACATCTCATTAATCGCGATAGAAAGGGTGAATGAGCGAATAAGAGAGAAAGATGCATAGAATCGGCACCGGTGACGGCGGCGGCAGCAATGGTAGGACAATCAGGATCATCATCACCGATGCACGTCATTCAAGTCAGTCATGGGCCCGTGGCCATCGCTTTAATTTCGGTCTGACTACTTTGTGAACTTTTTACGAAGAATGAAAAGAGAGACCGCCGCCGCGCGCGTCTCTTATTTCAACTATGCTACTAACCGAATATATGCTACAAGACCGAAAAGGAACAGAACTTTGAATGCGTTCAACTGTATCCTTATTCTTTATTGAGAACAACAAAGAAAGAGAAAGATATCTTGTCTTCGAAGGATCTCTTAATTAACCAGCGTAATCGATGGGTAAACAAAATGAATAAATCAGTTTGATTGCATTTAATTGGACTAAATTTAATAACTGCATGAAAAATATGAAATACTATAATGACAATAAAATCTAATCGGATTGTCATACGAAATCGAATCTTGAAATGAATCATCTTTTTATCTTCTTCCTTCTTCCTTTCTCCATTGATTTATCTATTTCTTCAATGATAAGAACAACGCTTCCTAAATGACCCTCAATTTAATATACACTTGCACAAAGGAATAAAGAAAGATCGAATCTTGGATGATCGAGTGAACGTTGTTGGAATTTGTCGAAAGTGTATGGTTGGTTAGCGGTGGATCGGTTGTTACTTTTTGCGCGGCAACATTTATGTAAAAGCCAATCATCGTTAAGAAGTACAAAATCGCGGTACGGTATTCTTATAATGAGAGAGAAATAAAGAAAAGGAAAAAATAAGAAAAAAGTGAGGGTACTCCGATCCGTGGTAGGATAGGCCGACTATCTACACGGGATCTCATGCTATCGGCTTTCAATAAGCTTGATAAAGTCAACGGGCTACGGGTTGGAAGGTAAAGGGAAAGAAAGTATCGGGATACTTCGAAAAGGGGATGCAACCCGCGAATAATTCACGCATTATCTACACCATCTCCTTCTCCTGGTTCAGCAAGTTCTCTCGAGACTACCGATAGGTACGCTACGCTACACACTTGCCCAACGATCCTCTTCCTGCGTCCACATATTTTACACAACCTACACGAATCTTCCCCTCGACAACGCTGCATATACCAAACAATCTCGATACGCGGAATCCCCGTTCTCGATTAACTTCTAATAGACGTCGTTAAATATCCCCATATAGATAATTAACTGGCCATTCTTTTCAGATAATAAGAAGTAACAAAATTCATCTTCCTTTCGGTGGAAGATCGAAAAATACCATACACGTTTTTCAAATCATCAGGTTGTTTAACATTCAATATTTATATATATAAGTGTGGTTTTTTGTATCGAATATTTGGACTCACCGGTCAGATGACTTCCGGTGAACTCGAAATCGTCGTCCTGATCCCAATGCTTCAAGCTCAAATTTGACAGAGATGTTGCGTTGGCGAATTCCAAGTTTGCAAAATGCCAGTCCAATATTTGACGATCCTTCGATGATAAGTACACGTCACTGTAATCAATTGTATATATATAAATAAATTGTACGTTATATTAATTATATTATTAGTCTTTATTTAATGTATGTACCTTGGTGGGGATGCCTCCAACTCCTGTAACTTCGCTTCGATTTCTTTCTGTTGTTCCGCTAGCTGATCCCATTCCTAAGAAGATCAAACAACAACTGTTAATTTCTGTATACTAATTTATCGTTATTTATTATTGTACAAAGAACATAAAGTTTTTATTAAACGCTTACCTTGCAAGCATTGTGAAGATCGCGTAATTTCGAACGCAACACGAATTCTTGTGTGATGTCCCTTGTTTGTGATTTATTTTCTGACATTTCTTTGTATTGTTTATTTAAATCTGTTAAACGACTCATAATTTGTATCATCTAAAACAGAAAATAAATTTATATTTTTTTAAATGTATGTTATAAAAACAACAACAACAAGAAATATATTTTGAATGCAATACTCACTCTATGTTGATTGGTAATTAATCTCCCTTGTAAGGAAAGAACCGAACGTAAATGTGCAACTTGTCTTTGTTTAACGCCCTGTTCTTGTAAACGTATAACCCATTCTAATGCTTGACCTAACGAAACCGGCCGTGTATTGGCACCTTGGCTTCCTGTTCCAGCGTTGCCTATATAATTAAAATCTAACTGATGTGACAGATAAGACGTTGCTTCTAATAATCTATTGAACTCTCGTTCGACCATTTCGTCTTTATCTTTTGGAACCTGTTTGACAAATGTTTATATTAAATAAAAGGAATATAATTATAAATTATTTACAATACGTACCGTTTGGCCGTCACTTTCGTATAAAGGACACTTCTGTCGTATTTTATGAAGCTCCATATTAATTTGTTTGCTAAGAGTTGTTACTGGATTACCCCCTAATCCTGTGACCACCATGGCTCCTAAATCCGCAATGTAAGATGATTTACGAAATGTTGCAATTCTTCCACCTACTCGATCCTAAAATTAAAAAAATTGAAAATCTTTTTATTTCCAACAATTTATAATGTATTTTTTAAGACAAAAAAAATTATTAGAACGTACTCTTGCTTCTAGTACTATTACTTCTAAGCCAAATTGCTGCATTTGTTGAGCTGCAGCTAAACCAGCTATTCCTGCACCTATCACTATAACTTTACCTAATTTTTTAGTAGGTAACGGCTGCAATATACAAAATAATTACGCTCAATATTGTACTAATTTAAGAAACTATATATACATAATGCATTGATCTCTTTTGACATACCTTTAAACGTTTAAAAACACCAAAATTTATAAAACCATGACGTTCTAAAAAGGAATGAATACGACGAGCTAGTAAAGTATCGCTGTTGTACGGTGGTTCTATGGCAGGKAGAGCATTTTCAATAATTAATTGTTGCTTTGGATTTTCAAGCCACAATTGTAGCTGAAAAAATGATTAATAAGTTGTTACAATACAGTGAAAGACACAACGTTGTTGATAGTTTTACGAATAAAACTTACAAGTCTGTTTCTAATGTGTAGAAATACTTTTTGTGTTTGTGGTGGTCCCCCGGATACATCTGGGAAACATGCCGCTTCTGTAGACGTTAATTTATCAAATGGAAGACGGCTTTGGAAAGCTGCACCTTCCAAACCATTTAATAATTCTTTTACTGAAATCATTGTAAAGAAACAATGTGAGTTTTCCTTCGAAAGGATTATTTTTTAAATATATTCATAAAAATGTTTGTATCTACCATGCGGATCTTCATGGTCACTATCCTGATCCTCTTCTTCTTTTGGTTCTACTTTAGGCGCAGATGATGCTGGCACGGATAACACTGGATCAGATTCTTTTTTCACATCACTGACTATTTTCTTCTCTGAAGTAACAAGACCGGTTTTAGATTTTTCTGAAGTATCCGAAGCATTTTCATCTTCCAATTGATTATATTTTTCTTCCATTTCCCTATACTCTACCTGTAGTATGTATATACATACATGAAAACGTTACTACATGATTTTATGATATTTTTGAACAATTTAAATAAATTAAAACAATTGTTTATGGATATAATAATACATCTAATATTACAATTCATATAATAAAAAAATACTATGAATGATAATATTGTCACATGATATTAATTTGTTCGAATATTGAATAATACTGATGATTCATCCAGAAAATAGTATGTAATTATATAAAATAAGATACTACTGTTATTTCAATGTCTATCTATAATCAAAACATAACCTCATTCGATTGATAGAAGCTTTGATTAAACAAAGTCATTGTGTAATGTTAAAATTTAATTAATAAAACATTAAATAAGATTATTCGAATGAATATATTAACAAACAAAAGTGACAAGATAAATAAACATGAGAAATTTTGAAGAAGTTCGATGATTAATCTCATTTAAGTCAAGTAGTTGTAAGATAAAGTATCAGAATAACAATAATTATATAATAATTAATAAATTCGTTGCATACCTTAGCTCTTTTTCTTCGACTCATCTCGAACAGATTTGGAAACTGCTAGGTAAAATAAAAATATTGTTGAGAATAATCACACGGGTTTGTTTTGACTCTTTGAACCGGCGGCATTAGGGGATTAATACATAGACGTCAAAAAAGCAGATAGATTGTAATCAACTTGGTGGCGCTAACAACGATCAACAACAGCGCCGCCAACCGTACAATTTTTCAACTGATTACTCATTATTACAAATTTTAAATCGTACATTTATTTTCTTGTATATTTCTGCATTTTTTTTTTCAAATATATTTCAATAATTATTATTGTCATTTGTTTGTAACTATTCAATAATTTTATAATTATTATTAAATAATATTTAAAAGAAATTTTTGGATATCATATATGACGGTAAATTAAAAATGTCAAATGCATTATGGAAATCCTCTCGCTTTTCATATTACAGGAATCAACATTCAAACTATGCGATAATAAAGCAAATATTACCTAAATGGAAATGTAATTATGAGACCTCGTTAAGTATGAAATCATCACGTTTAAATAACGCTAACGAGTGGTAATAATTGAATTTCTCATAACAATGAAATTAATATTTTAAAAATGTCCTACACTGCTTAACGATAATCACTTTAAATACTCTTATCCGTAAAAAACTCCAGCACCCTTTTAGTCAGTTTTAGATCAGTCTGTAATGAAATTTAACTTCAAATATCAGTTTAAAAAAAAAACAAATAAAAAGTACTTGTTTAAATTTTCCTCAAATTTAATTAGGAATACTAAATTTTAATTACTAAATTTTAATTACTAAATTTTGTACAGAGTGAGAGCCAATTTTGAAAAATTAGAAAACGTTCAAAATGAATTGTTTAGCTGATAACGATAATTTAATTATATTTTTACAATTGTTAAATATTAGCACCGCAACGTGGCCACTACAATCAGGCACTAACATTTTTAAAAAAATTTTATATGGATTATTATGGTGCAGTTATGCTGTTAATGGTACAACTTCCATAATGGCGTTATTGATAGGTTTTTCTTATTATCGTCAAGATATCGTAAATATGATGAAATCAATAGTAGAATTCGTATACATATGCGAATCACTTTTCAACTTATGCTACTGCACATTGCAAAAATCAAATTTCAAGGTTGCATATCTACTTCAAAAATATTTATATACATTATTAAAATACATTGAAATTTAATAAAAATTTTTTATAGATACTCATAGATGATATGAAACAATTTTCAGCAAAGTCAACTCCTTCAGAATTAGCTCTGAGACGTAATTATTTAAAAACGACGAGCTTTTTTTTAGGATTTATGTTTGCCCTCTTCTTCAGTGGTGGTTCAATTTTTGTCTTTGCTCCGTCAATAATACACAACAGAGAGATACCACTCAATACAATGTATCCATTTCCATTAACAAAAAAATGGGCGATTTATCTTGTGTATATATTAAACACATATACAGTTATGCAAGCATTTTGTGCTATCAGTGTCGACTTGTTGGTAATTGCAATATTAAGTAACGCAGGTTTCAAATTTATCGTACTTGGGATTAAATTGCAAAACGTTACCAATGATACTCAACTGAAAAATTTTGTGATTGAACATCAAGATGCTATCAGGTATTAAATAAAGTAAATAATTTTGTGCTCATTGCTATAAATTCAAATAATTTATGATATGATAAATATTTGTTTTTTTTTTTGACAGATACGTCACAATAATAGATAATACTGTTACACCCATCCTTGTTAAATCCATAGTAGCAGCATGCACTTATTTAATTACATGTAGTTTGTTATTGTTGAACGTAAGTTTTGTTGATTTCAATTTTTTAAAGAATATTTTCTACAAGTATTATCATTTTTGTAGGATGTACCTTTACTACATGTAACACAGTTTGCTGCAATAACAATATTATCTTTCACACGACTTCTCGTATGCAGCTGCGTGGCTCAATCAATGACTGACATCGTAAAACATATTTTTAAATAAACATATTATATTAATTCACTTTAAATACTGATTATAACTGTTTCAGGCTTCTAATTTAATTTCATTAATTACCGTATCCTCCTGGCTAGAATCTTCATCGACGATGCATAAAAATATACTTTTTATCATACAAAGATGTCAAAAGCCTATCACTATTTCGGTAAACGGTATTATACCTGCTTTATCTCTCAATTTTTGTGGATTGGTAAATACATTTAATTTTCTCTTTTTTATCAAACATTATATTATATTATTTATCTACTCTTATTTTTTGTATGTAATAGGTAATGTATAAAACATTTTCTTATATTATGACATTAAGAGCAATATTAAAAGTATAAAATATACGAAGATATATAGTTTACAAGAAAAACATTATATTAAGTTGGGGAAAAAGAAATTCATTATTTTTGTCTTGAAATAAACGTAAAAATAATAAATTTCTTTATCTCCAATCTAATAATAAAGATAATAACAATCATATTATCAATATATTCCAACAATTTGTGTGTATAAATAATAAATATAAATAAAATATTTTATTCACACACATTTTGTATACTTGCCTTTTCAATATTTCAATATGTACACCATCTTTCATATTTAATTCATATATAAACGTATTAAATCATTCTCATTAGCTGGAAAATTTGTAACTGGGCAACATTTCTTATCTCGTACTTCGGGTAAAATACACTGGTAACAAAATATATATCTATAAATTAAAGATAATTATAATTGCAATGCAATGCAAAACAAGTAATGATATTTAAAATCAATTTACGTACCCTGACACCATAAGTACTGTACGTATATGTGGCACTTTCATACAAAGCGGACATAGTCCTTTATATTTTTTTACTGATGGTGATATCTTAGAATCAAAAATTAAAATATTAAACACTATTTAATGAAATAAACTGTAGATTTGTTAGGAATATTTTATTAAATTTATATTTTGTACCTTTGGAGCTGAAGGAGCTGGAAGCATCATTATATCCGTAAAATAATTCTCTTGACTCCACCAAGATAAAAATTGTAGAAAGAAGGCTCCAATTTCAAAAGATCTAGCAAATGTCGATTGAAGTACATCCAATCCATCACTAATAGTGAAAGCATTGCTTCTAGCTTTGTGCAATAATTCCGTAATAGAAACAATAGTTCTTGTTTCTGAATATGTAAGTACAATGCCAAGAAACCTTAACAACGGTGTTGCGTACATTGATCTTCCAGATACATAAAGTATATAATTGCATAAGATTATAGATTCGTATAAAGTGAAATAAGTATTATGTCCTTCAATAACACATTTTCTGAAAAGTTTTTCCCATTTCTATAACAACAATAATATATAATTTTATATAATCCAATTTATAAAATTGATTAAATAAAATATTTTGAACTTACCGATTTAGGTATGTAATTGTCAACTTCTTGTAATTTATATCGATAACTAAGTTTAAGTAACTTTCCTCTCAAATAAGGTAGTAAAACGAGTAAAATTAAAGAAAAATATTTTTGTTTCTGTGATAATTGATCATGAAACTTTTGGTTTACTAATGCGATGCGCTTTAATTGATAAAACGTTTCAGAAAATGACCCAGCTAAAATAAATATAATTATTATCAAAATAATTTTTGTAATCTCATTAAATATTTTTTATATAATTAAAATAAAAAAAATAGTAATATATTTACAATATTTGTTGAGGTAATATCGTTGAAGAAATGTGTTAAAAATCAAATATCCTTCGTCAGACCATTCGAGTAAATGTCCATATCTTTCAAAATTAAAAGATACAAGGAACTAAAATAAAATAGAAACAATGCAATTAATGATTAATTATTATTTAGAGTACAATTTTATAATATTCATTACATACTGATAGAATCTTTTTAAAAGCAGGTTCTAGTATATGAGCAAGAGATTCTTGTGCAATAATTTCAAAAATTGAAGGTTTAGTGCATGTTGTTCCAGTTAAATGTGCACCCTTTTCTGCCATTGTTTTATTAATATTGTACGTGTTAATGTTTTAAATTATAACAATTGAAACTGCTTATCATGATTTACAAGCATATAAAAACTGTTTCACTTTTATGTATTTAAAATTCAATATCATATAATAGAATTTATTACGACATCACAACATAACCACAAAAAACAAGATAGGAATAAGTATTATTAATTATTATATCTGCATTTTATTAAAGTATATAAATTATCTACTATTTCAACATCTACTTGTAAATATTGGCATAACTTAGTAATTGCATAATCGTACATTTTGTGTGGAAATAAATAAAAAGGATATTAAAATCAAATATGGAGACGTATAGCGCCAAAACACAACAATTCAAATATGACTGATACTAGTTCTCTACATATATACAATTTATTCATATATAATTAGTAAATATATAATAATAAAATAAACATTTCACACTTATAACAATTTTATGTCCATTCAATTTGAATATTCGGTAAATGATGTTTTAATTGTTTTTTAACATCATTTGGATTTTCTACATATGTCAGTCCTTCAAGTTTCAATTTTTTCAAATTTCTACAATCATTTAACAAGAAACTGGATTTAGCAATTAATCATAAGATAATACATGTTTGTTAGGTTTTAAATATTTATACATACTCAAGTTTTCCTAATTTATACAACCCTTCATCGGTTACACTTGGACAGTCTATGACTTCCAGATGAGTTAGAGAGTTTTTTAAATACAATAACTTCAACATTGCTTTATTGCAAATGTATCGACAACGAATAAGCTTAACTTCCTCTATATGATTGCAACCTTCTAAATAAACAATTTTAAAATGAAATCAAAAGAATGAACAATTCATTTATCTATTTTTTAAACTAATCTTCACTATGTCGTACTAACCAAAATATGGAAATCCTACATATGTTATGCCTGCATTTACAGCTTCAACTGATTGTATATAATTACTTCCTTTCAGTGTGATCAAAACATTATAATCCTTTAAATAATCAGATGAATTTTTCCACTTAACGTAGGCTCCATTTTTTAAAAGCCATTCAGCGCAAGCTTGATCAGGGCCAACTTCTTTGATCCTTTCATTACTAACACTTTGAGTACATAATTTATTTTGTTAAATATAAACAAAAATACTAAACAATTCAACTATTACAAGAAACTGCATAGTTCAATTAATAATGTGAAAATTAATGTTTCAATAAAGGAGAATCAAGGTAATGTTAATTATATTAATTTTCTGAAACATTTGTTAAACAAACCTATTAAAAATTGTGGTCAGCCAATAAAACAAAGATCTTTGTTGAAATTTGTTTTCTTGTCTTAGGGAAGAAAAAAGTCTACAATTTAAAATCTGTAAAAAAAGAGAAAGAAATATTAAAATAGAACATTTATCTACGATCTATGAGATCAAAATGAATGATTGAAACCTTATTAATCATAGTGAATTATTTCGATTAATTTATTCCACATTTATTTAATTATTTACGTAAATAGACGTAAATACATTTCTGTAATATTGCAAAAGAATAATAATAATAGAATGCAAAGTTACTTTACTTCTCTCACGCTATTGGTAGAATACCTGCGCTGTTCGAAGAGCCATCTATGATTGCAAATTTTACGACAAATCGAACGGTATTTTAAAATAATAGTGGCAAACTGAAACTCTGTACTTACGATCCTCTACATTTGAATATTATTTTAGATAAAATAAAAAAAGTATATTTATAATAAAAATAATAATTATTGAAGTGATTTTAACAAACAGGATATAATATATTTCAAGCTCATTAATAACGGAATACAATTCAAAGGAAGAGCTCTAGTATTTGTTTATTGAAAAGAAAAAATGCCGCAACAAATGAATGTACTTTGCTGTTATTCCTGTGAAATGTTTCAAGTAAGTTAATTAGTTTTATTTTTTATTTTTTTTTATTTTATTTTTTAATATATTATTATTTATATTATATTTGTTGCAATTGCAACATTCACTTAGGTTCATATCGTGAAAAAAGAACAAAAATGGCAGTGCAAAGTTTGTAATGAAAAACAATCTATTCGGCGAGTATGTTATTATTATTTTTTTTCATTTTAATTTTATTATCATATGTAGATTAATTATAATACAGAAAATGATTACTGTGATTAGGTTTATTTTCAAGGATCAGGAAAAGATTGTCGTTCTCATGTGCAAGAATTAAACTTGCAGAAATTAAAAGATCTTGAGTCAACACAAACTCATTTTGATAATGATAATTGCAATTAGGCATTTAAAGATAATTTTTTAGCAGCTTCTGAACACTCTGTTAACTAACAGTTCATTGGCTAAGAATTGGTTGAGGAGGAGTTTGTTTACGCAGAGAATGTCATGCCTCAACTTTAAAACTGCAGCATGTTTTACACAACGACTTAAAAATCAGGATAGATCATTACAGAGATGAACCAGTTAATGAAATCTAAATAAATGATTATGCATATAGTCTAAAATAAAAAGAACCAAAATCTACGAGTCCTGACTAAATTTCTATTAATAATAATTAAGTGAAAATTAAATCTAGCACAGTAGAAGTTGAAAATATATTTAAAAGATTTTGATATAATTTTTTTGTTTTTTAATATAAATGATTTTTTTTGATTATTCATCACTGGAATGATTTCATCCAACCAGTTATAAAATGCGAAACGTTTAACTTTTAGTATTTATAATAGATCACAAAAAATACTGATCGTTTATATTTATAGAATTATTTCTGAAATGAAATAAAGACAATTATATGTATTCATTGGCAAATGAGAAATGATTTTTATTTAAATAAGTATTTCGTGGCAAGGACAGTTGTGTCTAAAAAAGTAATACTTTTATTACAGAATTAGATTCATAAAAATAATTCAAAAAATTTCTATTCTTTTTTTTTTCCATTTTCTTTTTCGTTTTCCTTTCCTTTTCATTTTTCCTTTTTTTTTTTGAATTATCTTTTTACAAGCTTTACAATGTCGTAAGATCAATAATTAAAAATATAAATAAGTTATTTATTTGTTATTATCTACATATGCACAGGTGCAAGCCTGAAAGCTAAATGATATCTGTAACGCATTATAAAATAAGATAGAATAAGCACTGGATGAAGTACAACGATAAAACTTTTTTGCTCTACGCGACGTAGTATGTCAACTTACTCGATTGACTGGGTTTCTCTGATATTCTTAAATATTTTTTTTTTTAATAATAACAATAGAATACATTGTCCTCGTTAAAATTTGAATCTGTTACAATAACAACGATGAAATAAATCTTTAGTATTGTTCGATCAAATGAAGTTACAGCAATATATATTTATTAGAAAAATGAATATAAAACTTTGTATAATAATATGAAGAATGAAAAAAAAAAATAAAATAAAATAAAATAAAATAAAAATAAATAAAATAAAATTCAATAAAAATGATATATATGTGTATTATATATGTATATATATATAATACATGTATTTCTAACACATATATATATAATACATCTATTTTTTTTCTTATGTAATTTATTTATTTATGTATTTTTCTTTTTTTTTCTTTTTAAATTCCCCTAGTACATACCAGTATCCTAACTTTTTATTAAACGTTCATCCGTTGTAGTAATATCATTATTTTTTTTTTAAACAGAACGAAGTTTAGAGTATACAAACGATATAATTTATTTCTACTTATTAAAACATAAAAATGATCGATCTCATATAATCGAAGTAAGAAAGCCGATGTTTCCGTTTGAAGCTAGTTGTAGAAAACATTTCTTGCTTATATATATCAATAAATGTACACAGTCTTAGGATAGTATAACAGCTGCGCTGCGGTGATCTAATTCTTATACATATCCTCTTTCTAAATATTCATTTCACAATATTAATAAAAGATGATTGTATTCAAGAAAACCTGGCAGTGCATTATAAGAGTGTTTGTTACTTCCAATAGAATCAAATCTTAGGTAAAACATTTGTATGAGTGACCTAGCTAACTTCAAATAGTTATATTTATTGTTTATAGTCGAAAGCTGCTTGTTTCTTTCTCTTTAAAAATTTGTTGAATACAATAAAATTATTAGAGATTGACTTCAATAGTATTTCAAGTTTTATACGTCAAATATTTAACAAATTAATTTCTATAAATTAAACATAAGTTTTTTGTTTTTTCTTTTTCGGATTAAATAAATTTTAAATAATTCTAATTCGCTAATACAACGAGAAATAATTTATATTATTCATAAATTATCAAATGTGTATTTTGAAATTCTGTGGCAATTTGCTTCACTGTTGTGTGAAGAAAAATAAATTTGAGAAAGATAAAAAAAATAATTAAAAAAAAAGTTCTAAAATAAATTTACCAATACTGATGTCTGTGACGTCGCGAAATTGTTGCATCTTCATGATGTCTCAAGCTACTTTGCCAACTTCGACTTCGTCTGTTCCAAACGCTACAAGATATTAAGTAAATCTCTCATTGAATTATGAAAAAAAAAAAAAGAAAATCAAATGATACAAATAAAACTTACCTTGGTAATTTTTTCCGTCTTTTATTAGACTGTTCACTTTCTCGAATAATTTGTAAGGCTGATGGCACAAATAAATCCTCTACGTAAAGAAATAAAGAAATAAATAAAACAAAGCGAACACCATTTTGTTACAAAATTAAGAGAGAGATAGAGAGATACTTAATAAAGTGAGTATAACAAATATGTTGCGAAGATGTTGTTACATACCAAACGTATTACTGTACTTTCTCTTAGATATATATTTTTGATGTTGTTGAACTTGAGGCATCGTTTCTCTTGCACTTCCTACTGTACAATCTCGCGTTCCTTTACAACCCTTCAAATGTTCTAACTGATCATGAAGATAAGATCTATCTGACGGTGTTAACATCGATATTCTATTCCATTGTTCAAACGGATCTATAAATAAAACAAAATATAAATAATTATTTTTATATTATATATCCACGCCGTATTCGTAAAAAATCATTTCTGATGTTTAAACTTACCGATTCTTAAATTGTAAAAAGTCACTAAACCAGTAGTGAATTCGCAGTAAAGGAAATTATGCGTAACGTTAATAGTACGAATACACGAGTAGGTATTGTTATTAGCGTTCATGCAAAAACAGAACGGCCCTGCATTCCACAATGGAGCAGTACGCCAATGATCATTGTCATGCTCGAAGCAATTCATCTTTTCAGTCAAACAATCCTTTTCAAGTTTAGCCTTTTTCTTAAGTTTGCGTTCTTTTTTCTTAAGTCGTTCTTCTTTTAACCGCCTTCTTTCCTCTCTAGCTATCTCTTTCTCATCTTTTTTGGAATACGAGTCAGGTTCGCAGTAGCACTTGTGACGTGCTTCCAAAGGACTGTTTAATAATGGTGGTAAACGACCATTGTTATTTGTCGCTGTTATACCTGTTATGTAAAATATATATTTTATTTATTTTTTTGTTTAATAATAATAATATATATGAATACACTTTACAAACGTATACCTTGTTTATGTTTTCTATCTGGAGTCTCCAATATGGTGACGTCTATTCTAGCTGGTCCCAGAATACCACCTGTTTTGTTCCTTTGTACTTTGGGTATTTTTTTAACAGGAGGGATTGTCGTTGGTACAGTTAATTGTATCGTTGAACTAGCCGTATTAGTTTCGCTTTTACTTGGAATCGGATGATTTACCGTGGTAGATACAGTTGGCTTGAAAATTGATGTACCAAACTCGACGGTTCCGATTGAACTTGGTGTCTCAGTCACGAACGATGAAACTTGTTGCGACGTTACTTCGGTCGTCATTAATTTATTATTTACATTGTTATTTCTATAATTATCTTCTTGAGTGTTATCGTGAACACTGGTGAAAACGATTGGAACGTTCGTTGATTTATCTGTCTGATACTGTGAATTTGAATTGAAAGTTACGTTGTCTTGAGTAGGAGCGACAGTTCCAATATTTTCATTCACGCTATGATTCGGTAGGACGTCGTCGTGAACGCTGTTTGTAAGCAGAGTATTATTGTTCTTTCGATTATAAGGAATTTTTCTACGTCTCTGTTGTTTATTATCTTCAGTATCTGTAGTATTATTGGATGGTTCTTTGATTTTTTGTCGACGTGGATTTTTTTTGGCTTTCGGTAACATAGTAGTCGTTGTGCTGGATAATTCCAAAGTAGATTCTCTTTCATGAGTCGAAAGTTCGGGATGAGTAACGTTATATTTATTGAAATTATCTTCCCGAATCGTCGAGTCTTTTTCAACCGTAGAGAACTGAGACGACTTTGAAGTGGATCGATGGGTCGTAGTAGTGGTAACGTTAATCGAATTCGCATGAGGCCCTTTCTCGTGTTTTTTATGATGCCTACTGGTGTGATTCTTAGAAGTATGATAATGTGGTTTATGAGAAACATGTGGGTCCTCCGACTCGGAAGGCTCATCCTCGTTATCCGGAATAAATACGGGACGTTTGATCATTAAATGTCGACGTATTTCCTTCAAAATTAATTACAAATTAATATTCATAATAAATGTATATTAAATTACTGATTGAAATTTATAACACACCTTTAAAGTTTCTAATTGCATTCTCATCTCTTTTATTTGTTGTTCGATCTTTCGCCTTGATAGTCTCCACTCGTTCGGATCCAGATAAATAGCTTCGCTACAATTAACTCCACCTTCGGGAAGCACCGAACACTTTGATGGCAAAGTAACTCGCGATGAGGTTGAATGACGTGCGTGTGTTTGCTGTGAAATAAAAGAAAGACAAAATAATAAACAATTCAGACCATCGCACGGAATCATTACATTTTTTTTTCGTAGCATTCCAAAATTCTGTGGAATATACTTTAGAAATTTCTGATAAAAAATGAACAAACAAACCAAAAGTGAACCAATATGACGGTTTGTTTAAAAAATGAATTAGTAGGAAATCGCTATAGCGATTGTAGCTAAAAGATTAATTAAAGTAAAAATACAAAAATGATTAACAACGTACTTTTAAATCGTCCAATTCCTCTTCTATACTTTCCATTATTTGTGTAACATGTTCAATCGTATCTTTCTTCGTTGCACTTCTTCTAACTCTTCTATGTCTCTTGATCACATCTTCGACATTTAATCGACCTTTTACGATCTTATCTAAACTAGGATCGAAATCGTTAATCGTGTAACTTGAAATCAAACGATCATCCGATTCGTTTTCTTCTTCATTGCTTCTTTGCTCGTTATTATTATTATTATTATCATCATCATTATCATCATCATCATCATCATCATCATCATCATTGATCCGCATTACCGACGTATGATTACAATAGACATTTCTGAAAGCAACGTTTACCTGCGTTTCATAACGAAAGATCAGGATAATCCAATTACCGTTTGATTTAGCGTCTAATTAGATACCTGAATAATATGTCTCCCTCGTGGGAATGTTGTCTAAGCATATGTAAATCCTGTAAGAATTCCTCGTCATCTTCTTCATCTATGGCACGTCGATCTCTCGTATCATCCAGATCCTCTTCCTCCAGTTCATAATCCTCGGATATTTCTCTTTTACCTTTATTCATATTTATATTCATTTAATACATTTTATTATGTATAATTATTCGATATATTAAATTGATATTGAAAATTATATTTGATATAAAACTGACCTCTTTTCATGAAATATCCACTCGTTTCACCGTAAGGATCCAAAGGTCTTCGATCTCTTCCAAACCCGTATCTCGACATATCGTAATCGTTAGTTTCCAACCTTGTGTAAATCAATCCCTGAGGTGTGAAACATGCACACTTTTTCGATGTCCTTAATATAGGTGGTGGTATTGTGTATCTACATTTGTGTCTTCTCCAACGATGACCGTCTCTCTCGCAACGCCACTTTTGACCATGCACGCAATCGGCCTGAGCTTCCGGTCTTGAACATTCGATTGCGAGACGTTCGTGTTTCGAAGCAAATGGTGATTGAACTGGATGCACTCTGTTGTCCAAATGCAAATCCGGAGCTTTGAATTTAAACACAATGTTTATTAAGATTCGAATTTTGATGAAAAATAATATTTAGAATAAAATGTTGTTGTGTATACTTGTTTCGTCGATAATCGATTCGTCAAAATCATCCTCGGAAATATCTTGATCACTTCCCGTATCATTTTCTATAAATCGACCGGTTTCAGAATCCTCGGTTTCGGTGATGTCATCAACCTCTTCGTTCGGTGAATTATGAGTTTGATGCTTAGTCATCGTTGCATTTTGCTTCCTCGCTTCTCGTGCTTTTGATTCCGCGATTGATTCTGGAGTCTCACGACGACCCGAGGACTCGATTAAAAATGTATCTGGCCATTTTATTTTTGGTCTTCTACTACGTTTATTA